CGAGGCTCGAACCCTTGACCTTCCTTTGGGAAGTAGGGGCCTGGTACCGCTAGGCCACTGGCGTGTTGGTAACAACAATCAACAATCGACAATTTCTCCTTAGACCATTACCAAAAACTCCAAATACAAACTTTTTGAGGAGTGTTGTCCGCTTACCTATAGCCAAACAACCTCCTCCTCAAAATTTTAAGTGGTTGTTTAATCAGGCGTTGTTGAGGAAGTGGCTGTGGAGATAAGGTGTGGAGAGAGACAAATTGTGGAGGCAGATCATAGAGAGTAAGTTTGGAGAGGATGAAACTGAAGTAGATGCATAATCAGGGAATAGTTAGGAGGTGGATAATAAGTGGGTTAATCAGGGAATGCATCCTTAGAGGTAATGTGGTGTAAGTTCAAGAGAATACAAGGACATAAGGATGTCCATGAATGTGTGGATTGAGGCCGTGAGAAATGATTGGATATTTTTTTAATAAAGAAAAGATGCAATCCCAAGATTTGGCAAATGGGAAATGGATAACAGCAGTAGCTAGGATAAGGATTTATTGAGTTGAGTTGAGTTGAAAATTAACATATGTAATTGTCAGTTAAAACTATCTGCTAATATTTCTCACTGTTGGGTAGATCTCTTAAATTTCAGATATCTCCTAGAAAAAAAGTTTTATTGTCTCAATTTTCATGAACCCGTTTCTGATTCTTATTTCTATCTCTTAACTTTTTCCTTAATTACAAGTTGTGGTGTAGGTACTTGGATCCTATATTTCTTGGTGATTATCCTGAATCTATGCGTGAAAGACTTGGAGATTGGCTTCCAAAATTCTCACAGAAAGATGTAGAGTTGCTTAGGAATTCAGTAGATTTTGTTGGTCTGAATCATTATACCTCAAGGTTTATTGTCCATGGGACAGTGAACTCAGCAGACTTTGTTGGTGTGAATTATGAAGAAAATGATTATTACAGAGCACAAGAGATGCAGAGAATTGGTAACTGTGAACACCTTCATCACTTATTTTTTTAATTACTGGTTCTTTAGAAATTCTCTTATTAGTATACTTTTTGTTTTCTATTGTCATAGCGGAATGGGAAGGGGGGGAGGTGATTGGTGAGAAGGTATGTATCATCTCCTTCTTTCTCTCAATTACATGTATGCATTTGGTTGTTTGCATAGGCACAATGAATAATTCCATTTCACTGAAAGATTTTATACATGCAGGCGGCATCATCATGGCTGTATGTACTTCCTTGGGGTATACGGAAAGTTCTTAATTACATAGCACAGAGATACAACAATCCTCCAATATATGTTACCGAGAATGGTATAGATTTCCTACAACCTTGAAAGGGAAAAAGTGGTTATAATGTCAGTTATGCCTTTCTATTAATTTTTCCTTTGTCATACATCCGTATGTTTTTTTTTTTTGAAATATTTCTAAGCTTAATTGCACATTCACACCATAAGCTTACACAAAAAATTGGCGAAGGGAATAAACTGTTCAAGTAACACTTTGAAAGGAAGATCTTCTAATTTTGATCAATTGATTGACTAGTAACTGGTGCAAAAGCACTCTGTAGGTACTTCTGCATTCTATCAGTGTGGACATGCTATACACATAAATGGCAGTTTTTGTCCCAATGCAATTGCAGAGTGTGGAGGAAAAAGTGAGACCAGATTGGTGAATTGTTTGTTTTTTCCTTTTAAAGTTACACTAACAAACTTGTGCAATTCTTTTGTTGAGAATTATTAAGGGGGTTCTACAAACTAGGAAAAGTTGTGTCATGAGTGTCACTCCCCTTTTTATAGTGGTATATATCTGGATTTAAGATGAATGGGTAAATGTCTCTTAAGTTACGTGTTTAATTGTGAGAAAATAACTTCATGCATAGGTCATCTAATTCCTAACATATGAATGCTTACAAGTATTCGTCAATATTATATTGAATTATATTTTCTAAATCCTTTTGTCCACCATCTACAGGTATGGATGATGAAGACAGTGATACTTCCACACTCTCTGAGATGTTAGATGACAAATTGAGAGTTAATTACTTTAAGGGATACCTGGCTTCTGTTGCACAGGCAATTAAGTGGGTTACTGTTACTTCTCGCCGTTTTTCATAAACTTGCATGTTTGGTATCTCCTTATTTTGAGAGTGACACAGAGAGAGGTCCATTTTCCTATTTGCTTCATTCATATATCTGTTTGCATTATGCAAATACATGCATAGACTTCTCTGTACATATAGTCATATTTATTTCTATGATTTTGAGACCCTCTACAATCATGTGAATCGCATGCCAAGTCACTGTACCTAAAAGGCCACCCCAGTACTTGTCCTTCCTATGCAACATGTTGGAAAGGAAAGACTGAAAGAGACCGAACTTTCGGTATTATTTTGCACAAAATGGCGCTACTCTTTACACCCAAACCCATGTCCTCACACTTGTGAACTCAACCTTTTTACTACTGCTGAAGGATGGGGCTCAACAATATTGTTTTTTATTGATGTTACCTTGAGCTGAAACCTTGTTCCCCAAAATGGTATGTATAGGTAGGATCAATTGTAGGTTGTGATATAGTTTCATGAATGTGGTTAAGGTAGGATGTATGATTCTACCATCAACTAGCTCTGATATCGGCTTGAATGGGTTTTTGTTTACGCGTGTGGGTGGGCAGGGGGCATGCCCATGTGTCAATATGTTGTCTTTATGATGAAATACAAGATGAAAATGAACTAATGTTGTGTGTGTAATATATGGACAGGGATGGAACGGATGTGAGGGGTTACTTTGCATGGTCTTTATTGGACAATTTTGAGTGGGCTCAAGGTTATACCAAGCGTTTTGGTTTAATTTTTGTGGACTACAAGAATGGTCTTTCTCGGCACCCGAAATCTTCTGCTTATTGGTTCTCGCGGTTCTTGAAAGGTGGAGAAGGGAAAAAGAACAAAGAAGAGTAATTGAGTTCCTTGTGGTAAGCCACGGACCAAACTTTTCATCTCGCACCTTTGTGCTGAAAGTTCCCGTACCTTTTATTTCCCTTTTTGCTCAAGTAGCTAACTTAATGCTGCTGCAGAGAAGGATATTTGGCGGGCTAGGGACTCCTCTTCATATTACGGTTTTCAATAGTTATTACTGTTGTTCAAGTCTTGTATTCTCCCGAGTACGATAGAGGATATCTTGTAAGAGGTTGTATTCTGCTACTGAAGTCCTTGTTTCGCAGTCAAGCCAATGAAACCAAGTTTGAGGACGTATGTGCTAATTTGAAATCCCTGTATTCTTTATCAGATCGATCCACTTAAGTGCCGGTATATGTTTCTGTAATGCTAGAAAAATCCTGTCTCGAACAATAATATAGTTAGATAAGTTTCAAATGTTGCCAACCACAGCCCCCGTGCGCGCGCGCGCGCACACACACGCACAGGTTACCCTCTGCTTTCACTTACTGCATCCTCTGAATTTACTTGCAGCACTGGATATTAGGCATAGCATAGCCACTGAATTGTGGCCTGATCCTGTTAACTACATATCTCAGTGTTTTTGTGCCTGAATCTCTGCATACATAAGGTGAATAATGCATGGATCGAATCAACGGACTCCAAAGCATTTACACCTTTCCAAAATGCAGGCCTTATAAAGGTTAGAATCGGAATGAATTACTCTTAAAATCCATATGAGCTGTTTGAAATCCATATAAAGCATTTATAAGACAAGAGGAAGATTTGCTTGGGCCAACAATGTAGCTTAATACTTGGTTCCCCAGAAATATTAATTATTATTATTATTATTGAAAGGTAGAAATACCAATTATTAAGCATCATTAACTCGAGGGAGGTGTTACTTGCATGCCAAATAAAACACCTCAGGTGCTCCACTCATACTTCTTGGATCCGTTAATAGGATTACAAAATTTACCTTATAATTCAATGTTAAATTAAATATTGATAATTGTTATTTTAAAATTATTGAAAGCAAACACTCATTCTTGAAGGTACTAAACAACCTTGTTTTGGTCACCAAATGTGGGCACTAAACACGGTCATTTTTGTATATTTTAAATCAATAATTTTCAAGTCATATGTGTAAGAAATGAAATGCATACAATAAATATATAACTAATAAATTTCAAAGTTTCAAATTGAAAATGAATGTGAATGGGGCAAACGTTAGAGTGGTTTATTGTGTGAGAGTCTTAAATGTTTTTTTAGGTCAAGAGTCCAGCATTTTTAGTGCACAATGTTTTAGTACTCTTTTAATGAAAGGATAATGATCCTCATTTTTAGTGCACAATGTTTTAGTACTCTTCTAATGAAAGAATAATGATCCTCTCTAGATGTGGTGTGTGATCGTCCAGTGGTAGGGCATGTGTTGTTTGTGGCCAAAGATTCAAGTTCGAATCTCCATTCTATCAGTCAGTTGCTTTAACTTCAAAAAAAAAAAATTGTTCCTCTTCAACCAAATTTCTCTTCTAAACTCGGTAAACTTCACATTAAAATCGTGCTGATGTGGCTAAATATGCACCACATGATTAAGGTCTGCATAGTTTTAGATTGGCTGGAGAGGATCCAAATCCGGAAAGAAATTACTTTTAATGAATGTTAAAAATGTTTTTGCTTTAATTTAATGTAGTATCAAAAACTCTTTGCTAGTAAACTTTGTATTAATGTACTAAATAATTAATAGATATTAAATTTTCATATTAAAAATGAATGTCAATGGGTAGACATTAAGTGTAAAATGTTTTAATTAAGCAAGAGTTTTAGGTACAATTTTTTAATTCTCTTTAATGTAGTATTGTATAAAAACTCTTTGCTCATAAGTAAATTTTGGAACTCCTTTGATCATGAGTAAACTTTAAACCAGAACATAATTCTCACTTTAATAAATTTTAAAATTAATAATCTTCAGGTAATATGTATAAGAAATGAAACGTCGATAATAAATATATCATTAATAAATATTAAAATTTCAAATTAAAACTGAATGTGAACCGTCAGACGTTGGAGTAGTTTGTTGAATGAGAGTGTTAAATGTTCTTTTTTTTTTTTTTTTTTTTTTTTTTTTTTTTTTTTTTTTAAGGGCGAGAGTAACAGTGGCAATTCCTTTCTCTCTCCTCTCCGTTTCTCTCTCTCCTCTGTTTACGAAAACAATGGCAATGGCGAGCATGAAGAAAAACGCATTGGAAGAGGAATGGAGGTCTTTCATCAAAGATAAAGAAGTTTCTCGAAGCGATTTTCCTTCGGACTTCGTGTTTGGCGTCGCTACTGCCGCTTATCAGGTAACGATGAATCCCCATCAATTTATCATTTTAGTATTTTAATACCATTTTTAGCTCTGATTTACTAATAATTATGTTTGTTTCTGTGTTTATATACCTACTATATAAGCGTTTATATATATATCTATATATATATTTGTAAAATTTTGGATTAAATGAGGTTGTCACCATCTCACGTACCATATTTCATAATCTCATTTACCTACCCTATCAATGACGGTGGTGCTCGCCTAAGGCCCCCATCCAATAAAAAGGCCCCAAAATATTATAGTTACCTTGTATATATATAGTGTATTGTAATTGTTTCCTAATTGAACAATAATTCTAAAGAATTTATCTCCTAAAATAAGCTTCTTTTTTTATCTTCTCTCTCCTTATCAATTCAGAGAGAAATTATTTATCTCTTAAAATATCTCATTTTTTTTCACAATTCCTCTCTCAGCCTCATTCACAGTTGTTTAGTAAACCAAACCCTAACCATTACACACTCAATATGGGCCCAAATATTTATATTCTTAAATAATATATTTTTTCTTTGTCATACACTTTTTTTTTTATACACACTATTTTTTACACCAACACTATATATATATTTTTGATAAGTTGCACAATAATAAATATTTAGCCGTCGTATTGGGAAGTGAATATTCTCTTTTTTTTAGATTTTATTTTATTTTATTTATTTTTTCTTATTCCTAATCCTCACGTTCATTCTCTCCTCTCTCAGCAAACTCAACAAATTACAAGTCATCTCCCTTCTCAGTCCTCTCTTATTACAACTTTACAATTTTCTTTCTTCTCGACTCAATATTTCAAATCTCAATTTGAACGCACTTTTTTTTATTGAAGAATTTGCAACAGCATTGAATTGGGGCTTTCTAAATCAGGTTATATTATTATTTTTCTTTAATTATTTTTTAGTTTTACTAACTTTTGTTATTATAAATTTGTCTATATCTATATTTTTTTTATATTTGTATATTTATTTGTGAGTTGTGAGTCTTGCGACTATTTTTATCCATATTTTTTAAAACAATGGATGATTTTTAATTAATTATTATTTAATAATTAATATATTACATATTGTGAAATGAAAAGGCCTTTTTTTTTTTTTTTTTTTCCGCCTAAGGCCCCGAGTTACATCGAGCGCCCCTGGTGCTACTTGATAATGATAGTATGCTATTTTACCATTTTTAGCTCTGATATACTAATAATTGTGTTTGTTTGTGTGTTATATACCTACCATATTAGCATTTTTATACACACACATATATATATATATTGTAAAATTGTGAGTTAAATGAGGTTGTTACTATCTCACATAAACCGTGCATGTTTCATAATCTTACTTACCTACCCTATCAATGATGGTGGTTCTACTCGGTAATAATAGTATTATTTTTTACCATTTTGCCCTTGGCATTTCAGGTTGTAGAAAGGCTGAGCTAAACCGACGTTCTATTAATTTTTTACTTACATATTTTGTCCCCATTAAGTACCTAACCCGCGGGTAAGTGGAATTATGAAACGCAGGGAGGGTCCATGTGACAAATCTTAGGGAAGACGAGAATTTACCTAAATTTTTATTGATAATGAATATGAAAAGAATTAGTCATTACAGAGTTTTATCACTATAAGCCATAAGGTAAAGGGCTTATTTGTCATGACTGTTGGGTCACTACTAAAAGATAAACAGTAGTTTAGATTTGATTTGATGAATGGGTACTAGTATTCTCTTACAAATCTGATGGAATTTTCAACCACAAGAAAAATAACTTATAAAACATGTTGTAGTTCTGTTAAGTTATTAAAATAACTTGTAAAATTTAGATCACATTTTGATGAATTAACGTGGTACTAGTATTCTTTGATGTATCTCTATGAGGCTGTCCCTGTGTCATTTGAACATGTTTTCTGTTTTGTCTGTTGTGTTTGGTGTTGTTCTGTTTGTGTTGTTTTGTTGTAGTTGACTTGGAGTCTCAGTGATCTGAGGTGTTTAGTTGGATAGGCTGTGTTGGTTTGTATGTAGTTCTGTTTACTTGGTTTTTTTCACCCCTCTTCTACTTTTTTCTCCATCAATTAATTATCTTACTTGACAAAAAGATACATGTATATATATATATAGAAACTTATATCATAAAGAAAGATATTAGTGAGTTGACTAGATTACCAGTTATACCTACTGCACAAAAGATAAATAGCAGAGGAAGTATCCATTAAAACTGTAAATAAGAACCTAAAAATGTAGGGTAACATTAAAAAAATGAAAAAATGAACTCACAAAATTCTCCATATATTTTTTTTGTTTGGGTCTAATTCTAGGTTGAAGGAGCAAGCAATGAGGGTGGTAGAGGTCCTTCCATTTGGGATGCATTTTCTCATACTGAGGGTATGCTTTCTTACATGCTCAAATCTGTTATTTCCCTTCACAGCGACGTCTCGGCTTTATATTCTCAAATTTGGTTTTGTTTCACTTGCTAATAAAACTTTCTTGTTCTATCAGGTAAAATTTGCGATGGAAGTAATGGAGATATATCAGTTGACCAGTATCATCGTTATAAGGTTATTCTTTACAAATTTGGCAACAAGCGATTACCCTTTTACTTTCATTTTTAATACATGTATAACAGTTGATTGTTAATCTTTTCTATGAGTCTTATCATTATAAAACTAGAGCAATTGTGAACTTGTATGAGGTTTTAGGGATGGTGACAGAAAGCTGTACACATTTACTTATTTATTTATGTTTAAATTCTTTCCTTCTAGTTTTTAACTTTGTAACTTCTGCCCCAAGATGTATAAATACTTATTTATACAATATATATATATATATATATATATATATATATATATATTGATGAAAACGGATTATAATGCATTTTCTGCCAGTGCAATGGCTTGTTAGCTTTTGTTATATTTACTAATGAGTTTATGATTTCAAAATGGGAATATAAGCAGTTTGATCTTGTTCATACATGGTCATTGCTGACTGTTTGCACATAAATTTTTAAAAAGGTTAGTTCAAAAAATTTAATGGTCATGAGCTGGTTAATTCTTCTGATGTCATTTTATGTCTTTTCTTTCTCCTTTCACCAAATTTCATTGTTCTTAAATAAGAAATTTACAAATTACAGGAAGACATCGATCTTATAGCGAAGTTGGGGTTTAGCGCTTATCGTTTTTCCATCTCTTGGTCTCGTATCTTTCCGGGTAATCCCCCATTTCCCCCAATACGCATGATGCAATTCAATGTATTCAATAATAGAATTGAACTCAGCTAATATTGAGGTGGATACGTTTGACAATATATCAATTATTTATGTGGAGTGAGCTAAACAAGACTATAATGATCACTTGAATATGTTGACCATTATCAACTCCCAGTTAGAAGGCAATTTCATATTTTCATGATCTTCAAGTCCTATGACCTTCCTTGTGCAAAGTTGTTAAATGGAGTTTATGTTTACCACCAGTTGTTAGCTTAATGGCATCTCCAAAAATTCAAGTCCCAATGGGGACATAGGTGCTTGTGTGCTAATATCGGAATTTATTTTTGAATGGAAGTCCATTCACACTATTTATTTTTCTTTTATTATTTATTTTTTTAACTTTTTATGAATTGAACTCTGCGGTTTTGACACTTCAAAATCACTTGTTTTCCTTCTATGCCTCTATTTTTTATATTAAAAAAAATCAGTTTATACTATCTTCGATTCTTCGTCATGTTTTTATATATCATGAAGAATTTAATTATAAATTGTGTTGTTCGTTGCCTTGCCGTGCCTTAGCTTTATTATGATGAGTTGATGACACAAGTGGACTGCTGCTTTGGTTTTCTCCATGCTTACAGATGGTTTGGGAACAAAAATCAACGACGAAGGGATCGCTTATTACAACAATGTCATTAATTACCTTCTCGAAAAGGGTATGAAGTCATTTGTACTTGATTTCCTTCTACTAGCAACAGTAAAACTAAATAGGAGCTATGTTCTGCAGGTATCCAGCCTTTTGTAACTTTATACCATTGGGATCTTCCTTTGAATCTTCACGAGTCAATGGGAGGGTGGTTAAATGAGCAAATCGTGTAAGATCCCTATTGTTGCTCGTTTTACACACTGATATTAAAAGATAATTTTAGTTCTTACTGATTCATTCTTTGATATCAATGGAATAGTTTTGTTTAAATGGGTTTTGGTTTCAGTAAGCTTTGAGAAGTGGGATGGATTTGTGGCTTAACACTTCAAACCTTACAGAAAATTTTTTTACCATATAGAACGAGAAATAAAGAATGCATCACATGCCTTTGTTGTTTGGAGCTTATGTGGTGTAGTAATAAACTTTAAAAAGGTAACAATGTCGAGTTTTTGAAGAGGTACCATAGATATATAACTTTTTGGTTGATAGATTCAGTAATTATATTGGTTGAAGAAGAGACGAAAACAACGAGTATAGCAAGGAAGAAGTTCCTTCAAGGACCCTTAAAATGGAACATGAAGATAGAATGCGCAAATGATTTTAAACTTTACTACTTTTTTCCCCTTGTGGTTCTTAGAGTGGCAAGCACAATTGTTTATTATTATTATTATTATTATTATTATTTATTTATTTATTTTTATGGACATCTGGGATTTTAAATGAGAGTTGTTGTCCCTTCAAATCAAATTTCAATCTTATATGGTACTCTTATCAATGATCAGAATGACTAATAGCTTTGACAAATTGTTCCTTAGTACACTTTTCCTCAAGTTATTGAATAGATATTTATCATGCGTTCTCAGATAAAGAGGTTTTGGAAACTCGTTTTCTGAGGAGCTGACGATTCTGAGGGAATTGGCTTACCAAGTGCTTATTAGTTTAAAAATAAATAAATAAATAAATCATGCAGGTTCTACTCCTTTTGTGAGGAACTGGGATTCTGAGAATTTTCAGAAATGTGTTTTCAGATAAAGAAAATGTTTATCCTCCTCCATGTGCTTCTTGCAATTGTGCTAATGAGTAATTCTAGTATCAACTCTCATACGAGGCATAGAAATAGAAATAGAAATAGAAATAGAAATATAGATATGATATATCCTTGTGCAACATTCAGTAAAGCTACAAGCTGTGTCCTTGTCGCAATTCTCTTTGATGGTGTTGAAGGATATAAATATTATAGTTACACCCTCTCTAAAAGCTTAAGCTTTTGGAGTAGATAGTAGTTAACATGGTATCAGAGCCAAAGGTCTCAAGTTCAAACCTCATCGTCACCTTAATTAAAAAATTGAAAAGCACGTGTTGGACCAAAAGAAGGCCACACGTGAGGGGGCCGTGTTGAAGGATATAAATATTATAGTTACACCCTCTATAAAAGCTTTAAGCTTTTGGAGTAGATGGCAGTTAGCAGGTGGAATCCCACTTTTTGTTGATTTGTCCATAGTTATACTATCGAACTTAGTATATATATATATATATATATATATATATATATATATATATATATTTTTATGTTATTTAGATAGTTTCCCTGTGGATTCTTGTTTCGCAATATTAAGTCCATAAATAGATATCTAGGCTAATGAACTCAGTTTCTCATCCCTGGTAAATTTACACTTTATTTGGTTTCCTGCAAGATACAATGCCATATATTTTACCCAGAAGATTCAATTTACTTGCATATTAATGATTAATAACTTCTATTTTTGGCAAACCTCCAGAAAATACTTCGCCATCTATGCAGAAACTTGCTTTGCCAGGTTTGGAGATAGAGTAAAGAATTGGATCACAATTAATGAGCCTCTTCAAACTGTGGTAAATGGATATATTACTGGAGTATTTGCCCCTGGAAGACTATATTCAACGACAGAACCATATTTGGTTGCGCATCACCAGCTCTTGGCCCATGCAGAAGCTGTTTCCATATACCGAAACAATTACAAGGTAGGTATGCTGTTTGTGTTTTGGAATCATTGATTACGCACTTTAGAACATAAATTATGCTAATATAATATTTAATCATCACTTGGTTTCTTAATTTCTCTATCCGGTTAGATCATAGTAAAAAATAATTTATGATCAATTATTTTCTTTAGAGCAAAATGGTGGCAGTGTACCACCAAGTCTTGGCTTGAGTTGTATGTCCTCCACCTCACCGAAGGGAGGTTAAGCCCCAGTGGGAGCACATGTCTAGTGAGTGTGCTTTCCTATCAAAACATAAAAAAAATAAAAATAAAAATATATAGTGGCAGCGTGAGAGAATTTTGGAAAATGTATATTCAAATCAATGATGCATTAATTCTAGTTAATATATAGAGTACGTAATACTGATATATAGAAGTTATATTAAAGGATACTCTAGCTTGGTAGTTTGTTTCCACTTCGTGTCCAGGGCTGAGCCGTGGGATTTGACGGCGGACTTAAAAGACCTACAGATGCTTTATACCCAATCATTCCGGATATCGTTTGCATCCTCTGTATATGTATTGCCCATGACTAAGGGATCTGTAAGTTTTTCAGGTTTTATAAACAAGCTTGCCATAGGAAATTATCAAATGTTGGGGTCATTCTAAGTTCGTCACATTCTCTCTCCTTCTCTCTCTCTCTCTCTCTAAGGAACTTCACATGATAAAATTATTGACCTTTTAGCTAAGAAGCACGGACACTCCAAAATGGGCGAAGAATCCGTGTCCGACACGGACACGCGTCGGACACGCCCCGACACGTGTCGGACACGCCAAAAAACGTGTCTGGAATTTTTTTTATTTTTTTTAATTTTCGGACACGGCTCCAACAGCTCGGACACGGCTCGGACACGGCTCAGACAACTCGGACACGGCTCAGACAGCTCGGACACGGCTCAAACACGGCTCGGACACACTTTTCTGGAATTTTTTTCTTATTTGTTAATGCTGATATGTTATTTTTTATTTTTTATGCTGATATGTTCTAGTTTTTGTTTTTTACTACCCTAAAGATGCTGATATATATATATACTAACCTAAAGATGCCACAATTCGCCGTGTCCGTGTCCTAAAGATGTTGATATATATATATACTAACATATCAGTGATATATATATATATATTCCAACCTAAACATATCCGTGTTTTTTTTTTAAAATTATTAATGCATATATATATATATATACTATTCGCCGTGTCCGTGTCCTAATTTTTTTGGATTTGCCGTGTCGTATCGTATCCGTGTCCGTGCTTCTTAGCCTTTTAGAAAGAAGGTGGTGGATCAGATAAGAAGGATTGTCGAACCTCTTCATTATTTTCTCCTTTCTATTTTTTAAATCCTAAAGGTATTTTGTCTGGGCCATGCTAGTGGCAGGTATGCTCCAGTCATTGTCGAATGTCGCGCACGTGGCATGCGTATGGGGTGCCCCTCCATAGGCCGCGACGACGTTCAATTTTGTTTTTGCCCTTTCTTCTCCGTCCGGCCTCCAAATCAAGTGATTCTTGAGTCTAACTTTGTTAATTTTTCATTGTCTATCCAATGGTGTGCTCGGTAGCACCCATATCTTTTTAGAAATTACCATTTTGCCCCTAGGGCTAAACTTGTCCGTTTTTAAAACGTCGTTTCCGCACTTTGTTTACTTTTAAGTTCCGTGGCTTCATGGGAAGTCATGCTTGTGTCTTAGGGATGACGTACATATCTCGAGACTTTGTTTCCGAGTGAAAAGACCATTTTGCCCTTGGGGGCATACTTGGTCTATTTTCAGTATTTTGCTTCCGCTTTCGTTCTCGTCGAGTTTCGTGACTTCATGGAAAGTCACCTTGGCGTCTTAGGGATTCTGTATATCCCTAGAGACCTTGTTTTTGTTTTCGCTTCCGCATTCCGGATCCGTTATCGGATTAACTTTCGGGTCACATTGACGCATCCGGGTTAGTAAAACCAGGGCCGTCACAGGTGATAACAAATCCACTGTTATGATCAAAATCCGAAGTCGTGGAATTTTAATTCATTCAAGGGACTGACGTTCTCTGTCTTTCTCATTGTCTTAACTCTCTAGTCTCATCATTCTTCCTTTCTTTCTGTTTCCTCTACAAAACCTAGATAACTGATTCACATTATCTTCGCTTTTATATAAAAAATCATTGAATACTCACATTACTTATCAAAAAAATAGTTACTCTATCACATTATTCTCGTTGATTATTGTTGACAATACAATAAACAGATTAATTTTTTTTTGAGGGATAGGATTTATTATTATTAGGTGTTTAAAGCAATAAAATGGCTTGTAATAATCTCTAATGAAGTTGATGTATAAATTGAGGAATTTAGCCGTAGTGCTTCAATCCTCAATTTAGGATTGCAGCAGGGTGGACCAAATGGAGGCAAGCTAGTTGTGTCCTTTGTGACAAACGAATGCCGAATAAATTAAAAGGAAAATTCTATAGGGCGGTTTATTAGACCAGCTATATTATATAGAGAAGAGTGTTGGGCATTGAAAAAGACACAAGAACAATGCATTCATGTTGCATAAATGAGGATGCTATGTTGGATGGTAGGAGTAACTAGAAGAGATAAGATTAATAATGAACGTGTGCGGGGAACACTAGGTATAGTGCCTCTAAGTGATAAAATTCGAGAACATAGACTTAGGTGGTATGTTTATATTCAATGTAGACCCAATGATGCACTAGTAGGAAGAGTTGTTTGCCTAGCCATATGGGATAAAGGCAAGGATGATGATGATGATGATGAGCCATAGTGCTTCGTTTGAAAGATTGTAATTATTTCGCTTTTCTTCTTAGTCCCTTTTTTTCCCCCCTATCTTCTTCTTATCACTTATCCTCTAATCTTTTACTAAGCTTGTTATTTCTTAAACCAAAATTTTAAACCAGTAAAGCAGTTTCTAAAAACTTAGTTTGTTTTCTGAAACCCTCCTACCCAATTCTCAACCATATGTAATTTAATTCTCACAAATTTAATGCACTATTTCTTTCCTATTTTGCAGACCGATATTTTCTGTGATTAACACAATCAATTAATATATGAAAATTGTAAAGACTGGAACCCTAGGCTCTAAAAAAGAGTTATTGCAAAGTCCATGATCTAGACCTCAGGAGCTACTGGATGGGGAATGACTCAAGCACGACAGATGGATTAGCTTGTCATCTTTTTTTTTTTATTTCTGCCTCTCCATGCTGAACCATGAATCGGACAACATGTTCTACTGTGGATTGTTCACCCGTGCTACTACTACCTGTCTCCACTCCTGCTGGCTAGAGAAAGCCACAGAGAAGCAGTTCACCTATTCGACCGATCAACAGAAGTTTGTTTTTCGTTAATAGACTGATTTCTCTTGTTCACAGGGACTTCCATCTCAATCAGAAGGGGAGACCTAAAGGAGGGGCAAATAGGTCTTGGTAGTAGATTTAACTAATTCTAATTACTTTTTTAATTTTTAATTAACCTACCAAATTACTATGTTAAAAGTTCACATACCTCAGCACTGCCAGTTACCTCTTGAGATTGACTGATCCATCATCAAACTAAACACATGGTCTCCGGGCACAGAGTCAGATCCATCACTAATCTGCTGCTCTAATAGCAACTTTAATGTCCAGCCTAGTCATCTACTCCAATCCGATTAATTGATTATATGTTGCTGTTGAACACTTCAAATCAACTCCACGGCAGTTATGATGTCAACACACTAAAATATCACATAGCAATCTAATGCAATTGATGAATGATAAAAAATATATAAGAATGCGCTCAAACTATTCTGCAAAACTCTTTATCTTATGAATCTCTATGTTTATTCTATATGTCTTAGGGTTTGTACTTTATTAGAGTATTTAAGAGCAAACCATAGTTGTATAGAGAATAGGATTTTAGTGTTTTAAACTGAAAATGAAACTGACTTCCCGAGTGGCTCAATCAATCAAGAAACATGTTCATGGATCGACATGAGTCTAGTAGCCTTCAAATTGATCTGTTGATTGATCGATGTACTCAGGAATCCTATATGTAGAAAATTTTTAGTAAAGAAGTCTCCAAAAACACTTTTGATGCATGTCAGTTATGATTTTCTAGATCAGGTCAGGAATTTTCAAAAGCCTAATGCATGAACACGATGAATGCATAGTATTGTCAATTTACCTTTATACCCCTAAAGTTGAAAATTACTCTTTTGCCCTTGGTTGAAGCTTGAATTCCATCTTTGACTATGACGAAGTAGTAACCATTTGACAGCAACTTTAAAAATTCTAACTAAACTAATAATTAAAAAAAAAAATTACAGACTCTAGTTTTGAGTCGTGAAATATGCAAACGTAAGTCCTATTTACCGAACACTACTTTTATTTTTATGATCCCCATATTCATAAGTATTGCTATTCACGTGCTTTAGCTGGCACTAAAATAAAAGTTACTTGTTATTGTCATTGTTTGATGTTTGTTTGTTCTTCATCATAGGAAAAGCAAAGAGGACAAATAGGTTTGGTGGTAGATTGTGAATGGGCTGAGGCTATATCAGATAAAATGGAAGATAAACTTGCTGCAGCAAGGCGTATTGATTTTCAACTTGGATGGTATCCATTTTATCCTTGGTTTATTCTCTGAGCTTATTGAAAGTGCCTTGGTTTATCTGTTTTACTTGCTTCTTTTATTTTTTTCCTAGTTTGTTTTACTTGCATTGGAGAGCTTTGTTTTTGCAAAGACTAAATTTTTTTTAATACAATTCCTAGAGGAGTGTATTTAATGGAAGTCTTTTTCAATGCTGCTGATTATACATTTTTACCAACTAAAATGCAATTATGCGGGATATTTTTCCATAACCTTGAAAGATTTTTAGATCCATATATCAATGTTTTCTTCTTTCTTTTAATGTGCTTGGCTAAAATATAACTCCCCATGTGCATATGAAGTATACATAATGTCAAGACGCTTTGTAAATATTGCCTTTTTTGCACACTCTCTGTCTTACGGTTTTCAAAACGTGTCTACATAATTAGGACCCCCCCCCCCCCCCCCCCCCCCCACCCCACAAAAGGAGATGTGGGACGTCACACATAACCAAGCTTTACAAAAACTATACACTCATATCATCCAAAAACTAATAATCCTCACAAGAAGATCTCCCTGTAACTCAACTATACAGAGAACTCACAACAATGTACAATTTCAATATCGAGATATCAATTATTGTCTTTTGTGGATAACTTGAGGCTATTGTTTTTATGCAGTTGTTTTGGTCACGTCCCCTTTTGGGGGCTCTTCTATGAATACTTATAAAATAAATATTGAGAAATTTCAATATCGAAATCTCAATTATTTTGTCTTTTGTGGATAGCTTGAGGCTATAGTTTTTATGCAGTTGTTTGGGCCACATCTCCCTTTTGGGCCACTATGAATACTTATCAAAAAAAAAAAAAAAAAGATATCCATGCCCTCAAAAGAGCACCTAAAGGCATAAAGGCACTACTTACCACGCAAAATATATTCTCCTGCCAACCTGGTAGTATTCCAAAGAGCCAATGTAACAGCCACTCCACCACATGGTATGATATTGTCTGATTTGGGGTTGATGGGTAATAGTTTACGGGTTGGTAGAGTAGAAAAAGCACTGAAGATCACTCGTAGCGAGGAAATAGACTTGTGGAGTGGTACATGGTAAAAAGACATGTACGTGGTGTTGGTACTCGACAATTGTAATCTCTCTACGTATCATAGGGGAATCTCTCTACGTATCATAGTCTCTCTACAGTCTCTCTATGTATCATAGGGGAATCTCTTTTCATCTATGGATGTAGGCCGGTTTTGGCTGAACCACGTTATATCTCGTGTTTTTGTGTGATTTTTTTTTGGCTGAACCATGTCATATCTTGTGTTTGTGTGTGATTGCTTTGTTGGCTTTCTTTCTCGTTGTTCGCTTGTTTCCGCTACCCCAACATATATACTAAAGGAGCACATGTTAAATATTACTAAAGGAGCACATGTTATTTATATGCATAAATAAAGTCAAATTTTATGATTCTAGTCCATCTATATTGGCTAATATAGCAAGTCACATCCCATGATTCTAGGCTATCATATCTCGGATAACAACATGTGTTTCATGGAATCAGAAAAGGGCATTTATAAAGGCAAGCCTAAATCTAAGGCTAAAAATATGGTAATAGAAGATGTGCAAATATACAATCTAATATCGAGCCTAGATCTAAGGGAGCTTTCTCACATAGCCTATAATTAGGCCTAAACATATGTAACAGAAGATATGCAAATATATAAGCTAATATCAAGCCTAAATCTAAGGGGGTTGTCTAACAAGGGGGGATGGGAGACGATTTTAAATGTCATTTAGTGAGTTGGGATAAGGTGTGCAAGCCTAAGCAAAGGGGAGGTTTGGATATTCGGGATCTTAAGTGGCTTAATCAGGCAGGTGTGGAGAGAGACAAATTGTGGAGGATGAAAGAAATGAATGCATAATCAGGGAATAGTTAGGAGGAGGATCATAAGTGGGGTCAAATCCTTAGATGTAACCTGTTGGAGCCTTGTCTTTTGCATTGCCCTGTAGCTCACAACTGTTGGAGCCTTATCTTTGGCATTTTCGGCGTCCATTGGGTTATGCCACGGTCCTCGAGGGGGTTGATTGACGCTTAGCGAGGCTGTAATGTGGGATCCCACGCCTATGAGTGTTGGAGGGTGGTTCCCCTTTGTGTCTAGTGGTGCTTATGGAAGGAGCAGAATAAAAAATCTTTTGAAGGGGAGGAATCTTCCTTAGGGGCCTTGAAGTTTCATAATATTAGCTTTCTTTTTAGTAGGGTTTTGGAGAGAAATTGTACATCCTGATGAGTTTATTGATTTTTTGGATTCGGTGGGTCCTTCGGACCTTGTCTCTGGCTTCGGCCTCTGTATAGCTCTTGGGACGCGTTCCCTGTTTGAACGTCTTCTAATACATTTTTCTTATCAAAAATATATATATATATATATATATATATTTCAATAGAATACAAGGACATAAGGATGTCCATGAATATGTGGATTGAGGCTGTTAGAAATGATTGGATATACAATTAATAAAAAAAGATGCAATCTTAAGTTTTAGCAAATGGGAAATGGATAACTGCAGTAGTTAGGAAAAGACTTTATTGAGTTGAGTTGAAAACTAATTTATGTAATTGTCAGTTAAAATTTCTCTATTGCATGGCCTCGCCAAACCCATTGCAGCTTGCTCACTGTTAGGTAGGTCTGTTAAATTTCAGATATCTCCTAGAAAAAAATGTGTCGTCTCAATTTTCAATAACCCGTTCTGATTCTTATTTCTAGTTCATAACTTTTCCCTTAATTACAAGTTGTGATGTAGGTACTTGGATCCTATATTTTTTGGCAATTATCCTGAAACTATGCGTGAAAGACTTGGAGATTTGCTTCCAAAATTCTCACAGAAAGATGTAGAGTTGCTTAGGAACTCTGTAGACTTTGTTGGTCTGAATCATTATAGCACAAGGTTTATTGTCCATGGAACAGTGAACTCAGCAGAGTTTGACGGTCTGAATCCTTATGAAGACAATGATTATTACAGGGCACAAGAGATGCAGACAATTGGTAACTCTAAACACCTTCATGACTTGTTTTTTAAGTTACTGTTACTTTAAAAATTCTCTTACAATTACACTTTTCGTTTTCTGTCTGTCATAGCGGAATGGGAAGGGGGGGAGGCGATTGGTGAGAAGGTATGCATGCATTTGGTTGTTTGCACACACACAATGAATAATTCCATTTCAATGATTTTTTTTATGCATGCAGGCGGCGTCATCATGGCTGTACGTAGTACCTTGGGGATTACGGAATGCTCTTAATTACATAGCACAGAGATACAACAATCCTCCAATATATGTTACTGAGAATGGTATAGACTCCCTACAACTTTGAAAGGGAGAAAGTGGTTATAATGTCAATTATGCCTTTCTATAAAATTTTCCTTTGTCATACAAACTAGGAAAAGTTGTATCATGAGGGTCAATCCCCTTTTTATAGTGGTACATATCTGGATTTAAGATGAGCGGGTAAATATCTCGTAAGTTAATCGTTTAATTGTCAGAAAATAGCTTCATGCATAACTCATCTAATATCTAACCTATGAAAGCTTACAAGTATTATTTGTCCATATTATATTGACTTTTATATTCTCTAAATGCTTTCGTCCACCATCTACAGGTATGGATGATGAAGACAGTGATACTTCCACACTCTCTGAGATGTTAGACGACAAATTGAGAGTTGTTTACTTTAAGGGATACCTGGCTTCTGTTGCACAGGCAATTAAGTGGGTTACTGTCACTTCCTGCCGTTTGCCATAAGCTTGCATATTTGGTGTCTCCTTATTTTTAGAGAGACACAGTCTCACATAGAGAAGTCCTTGTTCCTATTTTGTTTCATTCATATATCTGTTTGCATTATGCAAATACATGCAGAGACTTTTTTGTTTATCTCATTGAGCCCTGTACATATATATATATATATATATATATATATATATATATATATATATATATTTATGAATCGCATGCCAAGTCACTATACTAAAAGGCCACCCCAGTACTTGTCCTGCCTATGCAACATGTTAGGAAGGAAAGACTGAAAGAGACCTAACTTTCTGTATAATTGTGCACAAAATGGCTACTCTTACACCCAAACCCTCGTCCTCACAATTGTCTAGTATGGTTCTGCTATCATCTAGCGCTAATATCTGCTTCAATGGGTTTTTGTTTACATGTGATATGAAAATGAATAATAAGTTTTGTATATGTAATATATGGACAGGGATGGAACGGATGTGAGGGGTTACTTTGCATGGTCTTTGTTGGACAATTTTGAGTGGGCGCATGGTTATACCAAGCGTTTCGGTTTAATCTTTGTGGACTACAAGAATGGTCTTTCCCGGCACCTGAAATCTTCTGCTTATTGGTTCTTGCGGTTCTTGAAAGGTGGAGAAGGGGAGAAGGGCAAAGAAGAGTAATCGACTTCCTTGGGGTAAGCCACGGACCAAACTTCTCGTTGAAACAAGTGAAGGAAACAAATTTTGAGGTTGCAGGTGCTAATTTGAAGCCACTGTATTCTTTCTCAGATCGATCAACTTGAGTGCTGGCATAAGTTTCTGTAATGCTAGAAAACTCCTATCTCGAGCAATAAATTGGTCTAGGGATATCATAATAAAATTCTCTCTCATTTTGAGTTTCAATCTTTAAAATTCTACTCTGATTTCCTTTTTCTTGATTCGCACGTCTTTCCGGATGTGATTGGCTAGCATGAGACATTTTTGCATATGACATTGTCGTTGCTTATGGAGTGTTTTTGAGCTTCAATGGTCCTGGCCTGTAATATTTGGCAAGATTATCATCTGCTTTCTCCCCTAAGACTCAGCTCAGGTGGTTAAGGGTGGAGTTGGCACGCGCACACACATAGGTTACTGTTTTCACTTACAGCCTCCTCTCTAAATTTACTTGCAGCACTTGATATTTAGCATAGCCAGTGAATTGTGGCGTGATTTTGTTAATTATTGATCTGTTTTTTTGTGCCGGAATCACTGCCAACACAAGGTGAATAACGCATGGAAATACACCTTTCCAAAATGCAGAAGGCCATGTGAGGTTAGAAAAGGAGTGAACAACGATATTTTCAACTTCATTCCAGTCCATTTTCTATTTTGGCAGCCATTTTCGTACATAAGAACGATGATCTCCGGCTCAACCACAACACGGAGTCATCTCTTACATCCACCAACTAGGGAAAATATTAATTCCACTGGAAACCTGGTTGAACCAGTTTTTTGTATCCATTTTGAGAAGTCCAAATGCAGCATACATCATTCTGATTGGTATATCTATGGTTGAATGCTGGCATGGCTGTTGTGAGTTTTTCATAAACATGATATCAAAATGTGATGTGTGTGTGTGTGGTAGTAGTCACGAGTCTAGAAAGCACCTGGTTGAAAAAGTTTTTTGTATCCGACATATATATATATATATATAGGATTGTGAATAAATAAAAGTCTACCCATCTCAGACCTTCCCCGGCACCCATGCCTATGAGGATGCTTGGGCCAGCAGCCCAACAATTAAACATACAGACATTTAATTTTTATATATTACAAATTTACAATAATAAATAATAGGGAAGGATTTGTCTAGAAAAGTATTAGTTGTAAGATTTTTATTTCCCATCATTGTAAAATAAATAAATAAATCATCATCCCAACTTGGTTCCTCAGAAATATCAATTATTATCATTAATATTTTGAATGGTAGAAATACCAATTATTAAGCATTATTTACTTGGCACAATATTGAAGTAGTGACCAATCCAAGTTGTCCTAAAACTTGAAAATGTCTGTCCAAATAGACCCTAAAGTCCCATTACATTTATGTCAAATCAGAAATAATTCTTCAACTTATTCCAAGCTTCCACTAACATTATATATTCTAACCACTGAATTAAACTAATTTATTGATATTTTATATACATATACACAAAATGGTGGTGTTGGGGCTCCTAGATCACCCCATAATCCACCATGTGCAATCTCCCCGTCCCACATGCACCGAGAAAATTTCCCTCAGTGACCCCAAGAGGATTCAAGCTCCCAACCTCCAAGTTGAGGTAAGAATCTTTGCCAATAGGCTAGCTCACTAACTAGGAATATAATCAAGTCCAACCAAGTACAACTAATTGAAATGGTGAAACTACATAAAATTATCATCAATTGCAAATGGCAATTAATTATACAGATTTTATACATATAAATAAGGTACTTATTACAGCAGTGTTTGGACAACCGTCTTTTTTAATTTACATGAACTATATGAACGTGTAACCTCTAATTTACCAATACTACCACTTACACGAACTATGTGAGGATAAATTAGAAAAGAATGGATCAGAGGAAGAATAATACCCAAAAGAGCCCAGCATCCGCTATTTAGTAAGTAGTCCACTATCTAGTAAATACAGATGGTTTGCGGCAACCGTGTATGCCTTCCCATGAGAGATCAAAAGTCCGACTTCATCAGCTTCCCTCGAGGCTTTATATTAATGCTGTCAAATGGAGTTCCCTGTTCTGCGTGGATGTAATCTCTTGTTTTAAGAACCTGCAAAGTCAGATCAAATTAGCACCAAATATACTTCCCCCTTTCGGTGATTGGGTAATGTAGTGAAATTATTTACAACAGAAATGAAAAACAGAAACAAAAAAGATAAAGCAGAGGAGGATGCCAGTGAAGTTAACTGAAAGGAAGAATGTCAAATAGAAATGATCAAAATAGAACGATATTCATGTCACTCCATAATAAGGAAATATAATAGGAATTAACACTTGTGTGTGTGTGTGTGTGTATAAGGGGAATTAACAGTAGGTCCACTAATTATTGGTGAGGTAGCTGGACACCAGATCTAAGTAGGAATTAACACTTGTAAATACACACACACAAAAGAGGAATTATCAGTAGGTCCACTAATTATTGGTGAAGTAGCTGAAAACCAGACCTGACAAGATAAACTGCCGTTAGAAGTATCATTGTTTGGTTCCACAATAAAGCAATGACTATTGAAGAAAGCTCTTTCATATATTAATTAGTTCAGAAAAGAATCATTTTCAGTTTCTGAAATAGTAAGCAAATCAAGGTCGTTCTTTACTTCCCTTTTTGTCATTTCTTATGGGGGTAAGCAGGAACCCGAAAACACAAAACAACAATCTAACAATATTTGCAACAGAAATGCTGCTTATCACTAACATGGGGGCTGACACAAATTCAGGTTTTCCTTATCGATGTTCCCAAAGCAGAAAATAAAACCAGCGATTAAACGACCAAAACTCTGAACCAGGCAACCTAACAATAATTTGAAGCCCAAAAGTACTCAGGTCTGCAGACAGTGATAACTAACAAGATTGCTTCAACCGTCCATCTAACTGTTAAAAAGAAAGACACTGACATCCTTGAACCAAAAATGTAGTTGATGCACACAACAGTACAGCACAAAAATGAACAAATTGCTCACAGATTTGTTTCAATCCATAGAACTTCAGACATACCAATGCTTCGAAGAACATCCTTGATGCCTCCTTGCGAGTTTTACCAGTTAACAGGTTGTCCATGGGAAGGCCCTTCCTTCCATGCTCTGCTTCATTATCAAACAAAGTTTGGAGGTACTTGGCAACAGCTCTATGAAGGAAGAAAAAAGAGAAAATCAGCAATTACAAAATAGAATTGTTTTTACTTATGAATTATGAAAAGACCAAACAAGTCATCTTAAGCACTCAAAAACTGTTCACAACAGTACAGAAGGAAGAAATGCTCTGCCTCTCCACAGTCAAGATACTGATATAGTCAAAACACGTAATTAGACCCACTTTTTGTAAAGGTCTGCCTTCCAAATGGCTAGTTTAGAAGTATACCAAGTGGGATAATCAAATTTATTCCTATTCCTCCTATCAACAAACACTGCATCCCATATAAATTTCAACACCAAAGAAAAAACACTTGATCAAATTGTTGAAAATGATTCATCCAGGGACACCATTATAAGCTAAAACTAGAGATGCATAGAGTTGAATAGGCAAACCATTTGACAAATGCTTGAAAGAAACAAAGTTAAGCACACGCGCACGTGCGTGCGTGCGCACACACACACACAAAGAAAAATAAGATTTTAATAAATAAATAAATAAAAAGTCTTATCCTAAACTCCACTACTAAGTGCTAAAACAACCAATTGACCAGGTTGAAATCCGCCCATTTGATCAGGTCAACATTCATGATTCATCAATGGTTTCTTAACACACTACAGCAAACACCAGCTAATTGCAACTAAGTCATGCACAAAACAGTATTGAGATGACCTTGTTTAGTCTTCTCAGCAAGGAAAATAGCAATGGAGCACCCTTTCAAAATCAAACTGAGTGAAAAATACACACCTGGTGCGGGAAGACCATCCACTGTTCTCAAGAAAGCGGGTTTCTATGGCACTACTCATATAATTGTCATCTTCTTCAGCCACTTCATCGTCATCTACATTCAGAAACCCTGAAAACCCAGAGAAAATGACACATCAAGCACAGGAAATCTAAACAAATATATATAAATAACAGAAAATGTTATTCACGATAAAGGCAGCCTTACAACTGCCCAGTACAATTTATTTTCAAAAAATTTTAAGCGGGGGAAAAAAAAACTAAAATTGAGTTCAAGGACATCTAATTATTCTTAAAGCCACCACAGAGATTTCCATTTATCTCAAGTCTTATAGAGACATTGAAAATTTTACTGCTTATAATTCATTTAGCAAACAATCTCATGAATTGATTTTCTTTCCAAGGTTTCAATATAGGCAAAACGGCAAAAAACATCTAGGATACAAAAACATAAATAAATAATGGAGAAGGTGAAACTGAAAGAGAAGCAACCTGTATCATGTCCATCGATTGCGTAATCAAAATCCTGCACCATGAAGCCAAAATGTGCATTTAGACATTCAACATGTGGAGATTGAGGGGGTTATTGGGAAAGGGAGCTTCCTATTTCTATTTTAAAAGGAAAACAATAATGCCAAAGCAACTTTAAACCATTAAAGGAAATTTACAAGATTTTGAAATTTGCTACATCATTACAAAAACCTGCCTTTTTGCAGATTCACTACTTAAATTAGAAAAGCAAGACACCATCATATAGCAATATACCCCAATTTCTAACTATAACTTTTTCATCCGAGAGAACATGCAGAAACAGAAACACAGCCTCACAATAATGTCTCGTAATTGTATTGAAGAAATGTATGAATACTCAACACACCACTTCTTCGTGTAACATACACTTTTGAAAAAAAAAAAAAAAAGAAATCGTCATGAAAACTATAATGTATATTGTTGACCAGACACCCAAGTCCATTGGTCAAACTTCTAGAAGAGAAAAAAGTATTCAAAAGAACACACAAGACATACACGACATGGAGTTCAGAACAAGAGTTAAGCAACTGATAATGACAGAACCCCAAGGAACAAATAGACTATTGCAAAATGTCTTAGTACTTGCACTTAAATTACCCAATATTCTCAGATAAGTGAATGATGTATTATAGACAAGCGTCTAAGGGGGGTGTCATCACAGAATACATAGGAGCACCAACCTTCCACCAACATCACATACGAGAAATGACCATCTTGTGAAACCTGATGGACCCTTTTGCTGGCACAGACCCCTTTCAATACCCCAACAGTTTAGCAGTAGAGAGCGATAGCCCAATGCACGCCAGCAAAAAGAGCATGGACATTATGTTCATAGCCATCACATGATGAATACGAAGATAATTTAGTGGCACGCTTCAAACTTCAAAACATTCTAGAGTCTAGAGCTGAAAAAAAAAAAAAAAAATTTTTTTTGGGGGGGGGGGGGGGGGGGGGGAGTAACTATATCCTATTCCCCACCCCCACCCCGGCCCCCAAATGTAATCACAGGCCTTGCACAACTCTAATCAAAGCATTGGTACCCTAACAGTTTTTTCAGGGATTACAGAGATCTTAGATTCAAGTTTCCACTTCTACATCGCTTTCCCCAGTTGTTTGTGCAACTTTGCACCTTGTTTCTGTTTAGTCTGTTTGTTTGCCTCTCCATGTGCAAGACGGGGTGATGTGTTAGGGAAGATGTGAGAGACTGATGATATACATTGTTAGCCCATTCCTTAACAGCTTAAATGTGGTAGTCTTATACAATTGTCAGGAGAAAAAGATCAAATAATTCGCATGAAAGGATAACAAAAACATATCCACAATGACAAAGCAGATAATCACCAGAAAGCGAGAAAATCAAATTTTGCAACTTACACCACGATCTTCGTTGGCAGTATGATCAATCGCACTAATTTCTGCATCCATTCTACTCTGTGAATCAGCTGGTTGACAGCCTGATTCGCCATCATTTAAGGAAGCATTTTTCACATCTTCAATTAGTTCTGACGTATATGCAGAATCTATTTTAGGTACTTCACCACAGTTACCATTAGCAATAGGGTTCTTGTCATCATTGTCCAGTTCTGCAGCAAGAACTTCATTCTCATTTACAAGCCCTTGCTTGGAGATTTCCTGTACGTCATGGTCAACAGTTACAACAAACTGATTATGGCACCCGTCAGTCTGGGGAGATGAAATCGCGAGAGAAGGATCAGCACTATTGTTATGCATGGAACAATCCGTATGAATTATTGCAGGAATGTCAACTGAAGCACAACCATCAGCTTCTTCCAACAAAAACTGATTTCTAACGCTAGATTCAGTTCCAAGTACAGCAACATTGTCATCATGTTTTTCTGCATCTACAATGGCGTCGGGTCCATTCCTATTGCTGCTATCCACTATGAAAGTATCCATCTCAACATGCTGCATATCCAGCATCTCATCAGGTGACACACCTGCTGCATGCAATTGCAGAGAAACATCTGCACCACTGTTTATGTCCAGGGAAGCAAGCTGCACCGTAGAGCCAGCTGGCATGTCAAATTTATCACCAAAAACAGGATCTACCACATCAGCAACAGAGACACTCCCCCCATCAATTTCCATTTCATCTCTCTCCCCTAAAACTTCATATTGTGAACTCCTGGGATCGGGTAGAGCACTGACAGCCTTCACCTGCACTTGAGTATCACAATCCTGGGAACTTACAACATGCTCCAGACCCTGCTGGTCCAGAATCAGCACAGAAGGCTCAGCAGGTACTGCTTCCCCATCATTTCTGCCTACCATAGGTTCAGTACTCCCTTCCATTCCAGTTTCTTCGGTGACTTTCAGCCCCGTGGAGAATGCTGCATCATTAGCTGCTTCCAAAGAAGTATTATTTTCATCATTTTGTGAGACCCGTATTTCACTCAGATCATATGTTTGACTGTGCAAGGATTCCAAATCAGTTGAAGAACCTGAAAAAGAAACAATAAATCAACTCAGATGACTTACAAGAACACGAGCAGAAGTGTCATGTAAAATTATAATCTAATAAATGACCTGGCATTTAAAGAGTGTGTTATATAATTTCACAACCTGCGCAAAAGTTATTCCCACAATTTAAGAAAGATCTCCAATACATAACGGGTTGAGTGGAGCTAAAATCGTTATGGCATAAGTAAGCAAGCAGCATACATGCAAAAAGGTTAGGCTTGAGACATCCGAACAAAGTGTACAAGCAAGAAATACTACAAGCATGGTTTGATCGGAGAATATATATAAATATTCAAAGAAAATTTCATGGCCATGAAAGAGAATCAATTTCTGTTAGTGATCCTCTTCATATAGAACATAATAATTGTACAGGAACATTTAAAATTGTAATAAGCTGCCAAACCATAAATCAGAGTCCAATGGCATCAATAATTGAGTACAATGCTTCAATTACGAGGGGAAAACTGGAAGGAAAAAAAAAACAAAATCCACAGAAATGCTGAGTTTTCAGCAACATGAACTCACCGATAAATATGGATTCTCTGAAAATTTCATCTTCCAGTAACTGTTTCCGAATCATCCAAATTTCAGGGCGAGTGCAAGGAGCTTTCTTTCGTACGCGGCGTATGTCTTCAGTACTTGTCAATTGTTGTCGTATTGTACTTGGGAGCCAAAAAGGGCAATTTTGTTAGCCTATTTCAACACAAAATCAACCAAGTTCTGATTAACTGTGCTATGAAAAAGTAGTTTATGGACACTAAAGGGGGAAAAAAAAACTGATTCCACCAGATGCTACTCTGCTAATCTTGTGATTTTCAGAACATAACACAGAGCATAAATATTAGTATAAGAAATCAATCAAGACAAGTACACAACAAAACCAGAGCTATTTACATAGTTGAAACTAAAATCAGTTGATGCAGATGAAATGGACATTGAGGACCAGAGATTTCCCACATGTACGAATTTTAAGCAATCTACTGTAACTACTGTTAAATGGAAAAAATAAATAATAAAATAAAAAAGAAAAAGCAAGCACTAACTAGGATCAGCAAGGTGTGTTACACAGATAGTAGGATAGATGCAATTCTTTTTTTCTTTTTCTTTTTTAAAAAGAAGAAAAAAGAAGAGAGAAATAAAGGAAAATATAAAACATCATTTACAACAGAAACACATAAACTAAAAGAGTAAAGCTAGAAAAAACTTAGGAACCTAAATAATGCAACAATAGAAGATAATAGAACATACTCGCCATGCAAAACCATGTTATCATCCAAAAGCACCTTCCTCTTAGAAGCACTAACACGGGGTGCAGACCGAGGGCGTTTCATAGAAGTTATCTCATTCTCAGGTGGAGGAGTGAACTTCACTTTCAAAGCTGAAGATTTTCTTCCAACTGTAGCAATGATAAATAAAATTCAGTCGAAAAGACGTAATAGTGAAAACATAACCTTACAAGCCAAAGATCTACTAGTTAGTTTTGGGAACATGATGGCATGCACACACACTATGAAGCATGGATGATACAAGAGGGATACAACACTACACAAATACGACAATACGATAAATTCTTAAAAGAAAATAGAAAAAAAAAAAAAAAAGGATATGAACATGGCGAAGGCGTGAAATATTTACATCTGTATAAAAAATATATATATATATGTATTTTATGTATATATTTAAAATAATAAATAATGAATATATGTAATTATGTATAAATTTTTTAAAATATAATTGTTTGTCATTTCAGAGCATTCATTAAGACTAAAATTCGCTTATAAAAGAACATAACAAACAAGTATTTTTGTAAATCTACCAAATACTCTTATAATATTTCTTATTATATCTCAGCTGTTGAAACCTTGTAACGCTCTTCCTGATAATTATACCAGTTATACTACGAGAGCTGCATGTTAATGTCTAAAATGTGTCAGAGAGTATCTAAGAAGTATAAAAAATGTGTCCAATATATATACAAAAAAAAAAAAAAAAAAAAAAAAACAAAACAAAACAAAACAAATCATAGGTGCATTTAGGAAGTATCCAACGTGTAACCATGAGTATTCAAGGAGTATCGGAATCTAGTATGGATACTACATGAATGTAACTCCCTTATTGAAGTATCCTTGTTCCATTGCACCCCTTCCATAAAGCACAAAAAAGAAACAGTTGGATACCTAAAATGGAAGATAATAAATCATCATCATCAGGAATAGATTCCCCAGTTCTTTTGGAGAGGTCCAACCCAAAAGATTTAACTGAATTTAGACTCTGCATAGTCAGTGTACTTTCAGTGAAACTGCGTTTTTTTCCTGAAATGCTTTTGGATCCATCATCCCCCATTGAGAATGCTTCATGTGGCGTAGACTCCGGAAAAAAATTATTCGGTAGATCAGCAAACCCTTCTGGTACAGAGAGCAACTTCTCAGGTGCAGGCAGTTCAGAAACTTCAGAACTATCTAAATTTTCTAATTGAGTATCTCTTGAAGTCACGTCCACTTGATTATCTAGTATACTAAAATCTGCCTGAATGTGTTCATTTGAACCAGGTTTTGCTATGTTGTTTCCCTCTAAGACTGGTTTTATAACATCAGTTGCATGACTCCCTTCACCTGGAAAATAAGGACACGTTAAATTCACAGATTGAGGTAGAGAGTATACCTATATCTCTGGGTCAAATATTTACACAAGCTTGTAAACAAACCTTGCACCTCATTGGAAGCTTCTGAAATATGGTTTGCCTCCTTCCTTCCAGATGTCTCTACTGAGCTCAGCCCAACTTCTTCAGATGGTAAGTCAATAACAACTGGATTAATACCTCCAGGAGACAAATCCAATTGGTTCAAATGTGAATTGCAGGGCTGAAGAACATGCATGTGAGTAAATGCCATTTCTTCATGAACATTAGGACTAAAATTTTCAAAATCCTTTTGCCCCTGACAAGCCTGAGTTCCAAAGTCCTCAATATTATGTCGACTGGAGGATTCAGTATCTACTACCACAATATTGCTATGAGGGCTTGATTTTTCCACATTTCCTGCAACCTCCAGGTTTTTAGAAACAGCTGGTCTAAGTAGTGCTTGATCAGTCTCTAGCATAACTTCTTCTGGTACTGGCTGGCAGGTGCTAATTAAACTCGACTTCTCCATACTGTTCTCATTTCCAGAACCAGGGTTACTACAAGAGTCCATCATAACATGGGCTTCATCAGAGGGACATGGAGATGCTTCAATTTCACCCAACCTAACTCCTTGGGGTTCCAAACAGTCTAGATGGGCCCCATCAATAGAATGAATGACAGAATCATTGCTGTTAGCAACTCCATTCTGTAAATCCTGCACCCTGTTTGCAGCATCAGTCACAGGAATGATCTTATCTGAAAATTCTGATACTGGAGAAATGACTCTATCTATAATGGACGATGATAACAACGCTGACTGGGGATCCTCTGATGATACGTGCTCAATGTTCACAGAAGTAGGTGGAAAATCTTCTGGTAGGTTTAGTTGTCCAACCTCCTGGCCATCCGAAAGGCATCCATTCTCCTCAGCAGGCATTAGAAGAACAAATTCAGGATTCATATGACTATGAGACTCATCCACTGCATTTTTATTTCCATTAGAAAAATCTACTTTACTGGTCGCACTTTCCAAATTCTCTTTAGCTGCAAATTCTGTCATATTATGATCTTCTGATTCCAGATGATCATCATATGCTGAAGCCTCTTGAATGTTAGACAAGTTTGGTTCTTCCAGTAATCCAGGAGTACATGGAGCCTGAGCATAATTTTCAGTAGGAATTTCAATCTGCTCACAAGGAAAACAATATTCATTAAATCAAGTTAGTAACTAAATAACAAGGGTAAAACTTGGCAAATATCCATTAAGAAAAAGGATAAAATCAGAGGTGGCTAGGAAAATTTTGCTAGAAGTCCTTGATGTTTATAATGTCTCACTTGGAGACATTATATAATTTTCCACTCCCTTATTTTCTTTATTTTACTGGAACTGCTTCCATGTCTATTTTTTATTCTTTCCAGTAATGTTTACTGAGGGTATGCCCTCTGTGCACCTGCATATATTTCTTTTTCTTTTTTTATACAAAACCAATTATGAAAAAAAAAAAAGGATAAAATGAACCATAACCCAACCGCCGCCGCCGCCACCCCCCCCCCCCCCCCCCCCAAAAAAAAAAAAAAAAACTTTATACGTCAGTCATTTTTTTATTTCAAAATACAAAATTAACCTGATCTACACTGCCTGAAGCTTGCATCGGCTCTGAGTTATCATTCATCCCTTCACAGTTTTCATCTTGTTTTAAAGGACTCATTGGTTGGTCAGATGCCTGAGGATCAGCTCTGGAATTAGAAGAGATTAATGAAGTCAGAAGTTGTAGCATATCCAACTGTCGGTTGCAAGTAACTTAATAAAGTGAACAAAATTACTTTCAAAATTCTGAAAAACAAGAAGCAACAATTTAAGAGTATTATTCTTTCAAAGGGAAAGTGGCACAGAATAAGCAGATAGTAATGCCATAAATAAAAGAGGATACCCTGAACCCAACATATCTCCTGCATGTCCAGAAGCAGCTGCTGCAACGTTCTCCAGAAATAGTTCCTGTTTGCAATCAAAACAATAATGATAAAATATTAATACTCCTATAGTTATATACAAGAAAGTACTAGGCTAGTCAATTCATGATTAATATGTGCATAACACAATAAATATTATTATGTCGTATTGGAAAAGGGGGAAAGAGTTTTCTTTTATGTGGTAGATAGGTCATTGTGTCATGTTGTCATATCATATTATATTGAAAAAGACAAATTTGGTCTAAAGGGCCTTATATAGGGTGTCTTCATATGTTTAATTATATTTCCAATTTATAAAAATAAAAATAAAAAAGAGGAAAAAACCCAACCTCCTTGCCTCCCAAGGGGAGGATAGATGAGTACCGAATTTTTCTAGACAATAGGTACAATTAGTTTCTGAGTTGTCCTCCTTCGTGGGGTGGTTATTTTTGTCTTTTCACTTTTCTATCTTTTTCACTTTTTAACAAGAAACTATTTTTTGATAAGAAAATTTAATGAATAATTATGGTACTCCCCATAATTGAACCCAAGACCTCTTTGTAGAGTAACAACAATGACTACCAACTTTGCTAGCTTGCTCCTTGTAACAAGAAACTATGACCCCCAGAAATCAAGTCGGCCACCCTTTTCCCTCTCTCTGTGTGTGAATTCTAGTAATCATGGAGGGGAACTCTTTTCCTACTGCTAGCTGTTGCATTCAGTCTCAACAATGGCAACCAGAATAAACTTTTGATTCATTGGACCTTAGTTCACAAACTTAATTCAGCACTTAATTTTGCATGGATTAAGTGCTTATCCAATTAAGTGTGTTTGATAACGCAATTTGAATATCACTTAAAAAATAAGTGCCACCTAAAATGGGATAGAATTTTAAGTATCAGTGGCCTCACTTATCAATGACTGCCGAACACTTAAATTTCAATATATATATATATATATATATATATATATATATTTTAAATCACAATTTACAACTATCACTTAAAACTTTCAGTACTTAATATTTAGTTTTATCAAACAGCACCTTAATCTTTCACCAATAATGAGCCTCTGAGTAATGCAATCATAGCTTCACTAGTGGCTTTTAAGGAAGGCTCGTGAAACATGCTCACACCTGTTTATGGTGTCTATAAGTTTTCATTGGGAAAAAAAGAGTTTATGCTTTAACCACCTATGATTCAGATTAAGATTGGGAAACTTGTCATTGTGATTCACACAAACTCATAAACACACATGCACGCACACAAATTGAAAGCTGTGCCTGCCTAATGGTCCATGACAAGAAGTATTGATCTGGAGATGAGAGGGAGGAGACACGGCATGATGAAGGTGGAGACTTTTTCTTAAAATCATTCAATAACTGAAATGGCCCTCTTTAAAACAGTATGTAAGTGAAGTGGTGGTAAAAACATTGTGCAAGTGGGGGCAATGGTAGTCCTCCCCTTGAAGGAAGGGATGTCAGATTTCATCAATAAACAAAACCCCAAATAAATTATTTACAACCACTACACAGCAGGTGCTTTAACTTGATTTGGTGATTTAACCATTTGATTCCAATCAAGAAAAATGATCCAATTGAAATACAAGATGTTTAAGGGAACCAGTATTTTTCTTGAAAAGATGGATTAACTTTTCACAGTAATCAGCTTGCCCCCAATCTCAATGAACCAGTAAAAAAAATCAAATAAGCGCCCATATCTATGTCACAGACTAGAGATCAAGAGTAAAAAAGTCTATATTGATTCCCAAATCAAATTACGGAAAATTTTCTCACAAAATAGGTGAGTCTTAAATCCAGGATTTCAATGGACTTTCAAAAGATATTTTAAACAATTTCGAAGTATTAATTTTCCTTCACAGTATTTACTGATCTGACATACAATCACAAAAAATAACTCCAAATTTTTTATGAAATTTAGGGGGATATGGGATTGCCGACGGGCCACAGTCGACTATAAGCTTACAACTTCTAGACAGAAAAGGATTCAGCAAAACAATTACCCACAAGCTCGCAAAGAACCATAAACAAAATAAAATACACAAGTTGTTATCCCATTTAACATAATACATGAGCAAAATTTGCGTCAAACAGGAGTTCTGTCTGATTATGGCAGTTTTGGAAGTTGGCTCAAAATTTAAAAAACTAACTGATTTGGTCAAACAGCATAAAAGCTAAAAAATTGGCTTTCTCAATGCTAGTAGTAAATTTGACAGTTCAGGAAATTTAATAGAAAATGGAAAGCCCATCAATATCAAAAACCATGCGAACTGATAAAACCCAACTAAAAAACTAAAAAAACATAACAATAAGTTATTTTTTAATCAACAGAGATGAGTTCAAGGTAGGCTCCCTGCCCGGGTCATTTTTCCCTTTTCTTTCTTTCTTATTTTTTATTTTTTTCAGCCTGCTAAGGTCATTTGTGATGACTGCAATTTCACTGTACATGTGGTAAAAAAAAAAAAATTTAATCAGTTTTAAATATTTTCCAACAAGTCATGAAGCATTAAGCAAATTGAGAATATTGCATTTTACTCTTCAAGTTAGGATGAACCTCAAACATTACAAAAAATCTAGCTGTCAGAATTAATCAATAAAATAATATGTAAACTTTAGAAGTACTTTAAAAATTATTTACATTAAAAATCGATTACATTAAACAATCAGGAATAGTACGAGTCCAAAGTGGCACCTAATTGGAACAGCTCCACATTACCAAAAACAAAAAGCATTGTTCCCTCCATAGAAATTTGAGAAATTAATCGTGCAGTGATTAAAGTTAGTCTTTTATCATTCATCCACATATCTACTGCCCCAAGTCTATATCCCACTTCAAGGCCAAGTAAACTAACTTCTGTAGTTATCATAATAGCCTTGATCAATATGAGTTTCCGCCTCCATGTATATCGACTTCCAGTGGTTGTTTGAGAATGTGAAAAACCATACTAATGGGATATCTTTTGACCATAATTCATATAATATTCCAGTAATGCCAAATTGTTAAAATGTTAGAACTCGGTTGCTCTTAACTGTGGCCCAAAATGGGCCCATGTGAATCCCAAAGTTAGTTTGAACATGTGAGGATGAGCCACTATTGCATGTGACATGAAAGGGAACTATAGTTTTCCTCACATCTTTCCCTCTCCCTCTCTCTCTCAAACCAGAAAACTAGGCCATACCAGGATCCAATTTTTGCATCATGGGAACCAAAGAGATATATAATAAATATAATCTTTAAAAAAAAAAGTAATCAATAAAGAATACACCTCCACCATTGTCAACACATCCTGGTAATCAAATTGACCTGACATGCCAGCTAAAACTCAGTTCAATTTATTGTTCATTATATAAAATATTGGAAAAATGACGACGGTGGTAATGAGGATATTACCTCATCAAGGTCCAAACCAGAGGTGTCACCATCGCCAAAGCGCTCTAAAAAAAAGATATTAAAGATACATAACCATCAGACATGTTGCTAACCACTCCAAATTACAATCAAGCCATGTCATGCAAAAGTAAATACTGACCATCCAGTCCAAACTGGGATGTGGAGTAAACAACACCCTCCATGGTATCTTGGAGAGTAATCTGCTCCCTTGCACTGACATGGTGATCAACATAATTACTGCAACATATACAGTCAGTAAAAGACGTTAAACCAAACGGGAGAAAACAGTTAATTCTTACCGAATAGAATATTAAGTTCTCCTACCAGACATCTTAGCAAGAATTCAGTATTAACAGAATTATGTAATGGTCCTAATGGAACTAAAAACTTTTAACTGATATAATCAACTTGACCAGATGATAACTACCATCCAGCAGTTTTTTGGATAGTCTGTCCTATAAGATAAATATCTGGGAAAGTTCAGTAGTGAAGGCAGCGATCAAAATCAAATAAAGGTTGAACACTTCAAAAGTAAATTATTGAGGATGCATTAAGAGAGTCTGCTGGACCATTATATCATCAATTCCTATCACCATTTTGCACATTGTATCTCCAAACCATGATGTATAACAGCGTTTAGATTTGCTTCTAAATTTAAATTAGATCATTCAGTAGAATTGGCACAAACCCCTGAAAAATGTCATTGTCTGGCAGCTCAAAATCATCTAGATCAAAAGTCTCTGGCAAGGTGATGGAGTGATACGGTGCAGTAGATTCTTCAGGTGGTAAATCAACAGTAGTTGAGCGAAAAGCTTGCTTAACCTTGAGCAAAGCCTCACTGCAATCATCGAAAAGGTAATTCACCTTTCTAGAATATATCCTCACCACACCAAGCAGAAGATGGCTAGACAAGCGGAGTGCAATGGGTACATCAGGAAAAAGAATCGAGTCTGTTCAAAGATGAATGTCAGAAATTAGCCAAGCCAAATAGAGTATTTGCCATCAGATATAAAAATTAAAAAGGAAGCAGAATCAACGTTGGGGAACAAACTGCAGACGCAAAATCATATTTGTAGTGAGTTGCATTTCCTTAAGTACAATAAAATCAAAGAAAAACAGAATATGTGGTTTGCTTCAATTAATTCAACATGTGATAATGCTTCTATCAAAATTTCAAGGATACAATAAACAGCATGAAACCTAAAAAATATGAAAAGTAATTTCTCAACACAGCAATGGTGTACAGAAAAAAATCAGGGAAATAAATAGATAAATAAATAAAATACCCAACTACATAGCAGGAAACCCTAAAATAATATTGTCCCTCGTCATCCACCCTGAGCGCAGACCCCCACATCTAACAGGAATTCCTTTAACTTACAATAATCAAGCTCTATAAATAAATCTTAACCACTAATATGTGGTTTGCTTCAATTAATTCAACATGCGTTTATGCGTCTATCAAAATTTCAAGGATACAATAAACAGCATGAAACCTAAAAAATATGAAAAGTAATTTCTCAACACAGCAATGGTATACAGAAAAAATTCAGCAAATAAAATATATATACCTAACTACCTAGCAGCCTTAGCAGGAAACCCTAAAATAATATTGACCCTCATTATCTACCCTGACCGCAGACACCCACATCTAATCAAGCTTCCCCGAACAGATTCTGCATAATTAAAATTTTGAAATATTGGAGATTTTTTTTTTTTTTTTTTTTTTTTAAAGTGAAGGAAATTAAAATTTAATAAAAGTATTTTTTTTTTTTTTATAAGTCAAAATTAATAAAAGTATATCTTGGATAGCTGACTGAGTTTTGAGAAATAACAATTCCTTTCAAGATTGTTGAGTTTCGTGGTAAACATCTCTGATGCAATTCATTGCATACCAAGCCATGCCCAGTCTCTCATCAGGGTCAGTCCTAATTTGCATTGTTGAATTGTAAGAAACAAGAAAGTTAATGTAAGTGTAGAAAAGAAGAGTACAAGAAAATTAATTTAAGTGTAGAGAATAATACAAGAAGATGGTGTGTGTGTGTGCGCGCGCGCGCACGCTTAGTCTAAGGATTATTGCTTTTCTAGTTTTTATAGGCTTCCAAATTTATCGGAAGTGGTCATTCTCTATTTGCTTTGATGCACAGGGAGGGAATGCCCTCTCTTTATCCATTGTACTAATTGTTTAACATCTTTCAATGGAATCACCACATTTATGTTAAAAATAAAAATAAAAATAAAAACACTTCCACTTCATACCTTTTATCAACTGATTTATTAATTTAGGTAATATATTATTTAGTTCGACCAAAATCAGGCGCAAAAGGGCGCGCGCCTTGCGCTCATGAGCTGATTTGTTGAAGAAATGGTATTCAATAAGGTAATATATTATTTAATTCAAAAAAAATTAGGTGGACTGATTTGTTGAAGGAATGGTATTCATTAAGGTAATAAATTATTTAGTTCCATCACAATTAGGCCAGTTGAGTTATTGAAAGAATGGTATTCATTAAGGTAATATATTAGTTATATATTATTTAGTTTGACAACAATCAGGCTAGCTGATTTGTTGAAAGAATGGTATTCATCAAGGTAATATATTATTTAGTTCAACCACAATCAGGCAAGCTGATTTGTTATATATTATATAGTTTGACCACAATTAGGCTAGCTGATTTGTTGAAAGAATGGTATACAGCAAGGTAATACATTATTTAGTTCAACCACAATTAGGTGTGAAAGGCGCATGCCTTGCGCTCGGCGCACCTTCTACAGACCGCCTTGCCTGGAAGAGGTGCAGTTGCTGCGCCTTGAAGGTCAGGCGCGCCTGGGGGGTGCCTTTGACAACCATACTTCCCCCAATTGAAAAGACAAATTCTATAAAATAGTTACAAGGTTAGAAAAGCTTTATGGCATAGACATTGGTCAGCTAATAATTTACATCATCATAAAGTGAATGTAACCGAAATGTGGATGCTGAAATGAGAATATAACAATAAAGAGAAGAAGATGAAATTAGAGAAATCAACTAAGATGGGCGCAAAAAATGAAACAAGAGCAACGCTTTCATGTAGCTGAAATAAGAATGCTAAGATGGATGAGTGGAGTGACTAGAAGAGATAGGGTCACTAATGAAAGTGTGAGAGAAAAATTAGGGATGGCTCAAATTAGTGAGAAAATTAGAGAATAGACCTGGATGGTTTGGAAACCTACATCGGAGACCAAGAGACGCACCAGTCAAGCGAGGGAGACTGGTTGTAATAGATGGTAAGAGACGGAGAGGGCGACCAAGAATAACATGGAGGTTATTAAAAATGATTTTAAAAAGCTAAATATAGTAGGCGAAATGACATGTAATAAGAAGGATTGCAGAAAGAGAATTTATGTCGCCGACCCCCTTCATATGGGATTAAGGCAAGGATGATGATAAGAACTAACAATAAAATAACTAAATTTCATACACTGAGGGAGAAGACCGCCTTAGTGTAGAAATATAAACAATAGGACCAGCATAGAACAGCAAAGCCCACAGAGCCACAGTCGTTCTTTCTTACCATCGTTCTACTTCTTTAAGGGGGGGTACGCGCATTACCTTCTATTTCCGATCTTCTCCTCAGGAGCTGCTTAACATCATTAAGAACAGGCTTAAGGGGGCACAGTTAGGTAAATCAGTACTCATGCTTGCCCTTAGCCTGGCAGTAGAGTACAGAGAATTTGACACGAAATAATCAGGAATAGCTATTATAAATGGTGAAGGATCCAAACCTCAAATTTCTCTTTCAGGGATCACGTTGAATACAATATATCCTCCGTCATATGAGCACACGGTGGGTCCACTCTTATGGCTTCGCCCGAGTCTTCGTCCATCTTTTCCAAACCACTAGCCCTAGTCTGGACTAGGAGCCTTCTTTTTCTTAGCCCGCAGCTGACGACTTGACTTATTGAAAATCAAAGCGATCATGATCAAACTGTCCAAGGTGCAAAGTTACAAAACCAACGGGATCACCTGGGATCTTGATCAGATGTACTGATTTTATGGAGCAGAATCCGGTCCCTAATCTCATAATACCTTTCTCGATAATAGATTATATGTGGCTAGAGCTTTTCTTTCTCTTTTTCTTTTCTTTTTTTTTTTTTCTTTTTTTGATAAGTAAAATTGTATAAAAGCACTCAAAAGGGGGGAGCATCCCAAGAGAACTACACAAGGCCAAATAGGGCCTCTAGACATTCAAGAAACCCAAAAAATCAACCATCTCCTCTAAAGAACTATAATATCTCCCTACAACCCAACAAAAAATAGTAGAAATAATAGAGAACTTAAACATAGAAATAGGATTCTCCTATCCTTCGAAAGATCTCTTGTTCCTCTCGAGCCAAACACACCACCAAACACACAAAGGCGTAACAACCCTCCAAACATCCCAGACTTGGGGCCCCACTATACAACCTCTCCAAGCCTCAATACACCCTCTCGAAGATTTGGGCATGACCCACTGTTGAAAAAGAGATATTCGGTTTTAATAAGACCAGATTTTAGGGGATATGATAGGCGTGTAAATATAGATAGTCAATGACCAGATTTTAGGGGATATTTTAGTGTACAACCTGTAGCTTCTATTAGTGTACAGCCTGTAGCTTCTGTTAGTATACAGCTTGTAATTACAGCCTATAGTTTGCTGTTATAGCCTGTAGTCAGCTTGTAGTTTCCTTTTTTTTAGCCCCTTGTACTTCCTATTTAACTAAAGCATTGTAAACCATTCAAAGTAAGGCAAAATACAGATTCCTTTCAATCTTGAAATCGCCTATTTGGTATCAGAGCATCTTACCGATTCTTCTAGAAAAAAAACCCCTAGCCGTCTCTTTTTTTTTTTTATCTCTTCCAAACAACCCTAATCACCATGTCTGATGACATACCTGAGTCCAAAACCAAGACCTTTGAGTCCCAAGTCCAAAACTCTCAGACACACTCGGTCCAGATTACCACAATTCGGCTAAATGGTGAAAACTTCTTTCGCTGGTCCCAGTCCGTGCGGATGTATATCCAAGGCAGAGGCAAAATCGGCTACCTAAAACCTGAAGATCCATCCTACTCTACCTGGAGAGAATTCGATGGTGATGACCTGGTTGGTAAATTCAATGGAGGAGGACATCAGTTCTAATTATATGTGTTACCACACAGCAAAAGAACTCTGGGACAATGTCAACCAGATGTATTCAGACCTGGGAAATCAGTCTCAAGTCTATGAACTAATGTTGAAACTCGGAGAGATCCGTCAAGGAGATAATAGTGTTACAAAATATTTCAACTCTCTGAAATGTTTGTGGCAGGACCTTGATTTGTTCAGCGATTATGAGTGGAAATCGCCTGAAGACTGCAACCATTACAAAAAGAAGGTGGAAGACAACCGCATCTTCAAGTTTCTCATTGGACTCAATGTCGAGTTTGATGAAGTGAGAGGCAGAATAATTGGACGACAACCCTTGCCTTTAATCGGTGAAGTCTTCTCCGAGGTTCGAAGAGAGGAAAGTCGCAGGCTGGTCATGCTTGGAAAAAAGTTATCAAATGGTGCTGTTGAGACCTCTGCCTTGGTCGCATCTGAAGCGAATATTGGCAGGAAACATAATGAAAAGCCCCGCCTTTGGTGTGACCACTGCAACAAGCCTCACCATACCCGTGAAACCTGTTGGAAAATTCATGGTAAATCAGCGAATTGGAAGAGTAAGCAGGAAGGCAGATTCAACCGAGCCCCATCAGCTCATGAAGCCGAGGCACTTCCCTTCAGCAAAGAACAGATGGATTATCTTCTAAAATTGCTGAAATTCAATTCCTCATCTGGTACTCCTAATGCTTCTCTTGCTCAAACAGGTAACAACCCGAAGGCCTTATCTTGTCGTTCAAATTCCAGTGTTACCCCATGGATCATTGATTCAGAGGCTTCTGACCATATAA